CTCAATTTTTCTATAAAGTTAAACTACGATAAAAAATAAAATCTGGGGCGCCTGAGTGGCTTAGTCGGTTAAGCGTCCGACTTTCGCTTGGGTCATGATCTCGCGGTTCGTGGGTTCGATCCCCGCGTCTGGCTCTGTGCTGACTGCCAGCTCAGAGCCTGGAGCCTGTTTCAGTCTGTGACTCCCTCTCTCTCTGACCCTCCCCTGCTCACGCTGTCTCTCTCTCTCTGCTAGAAATAAAAAAAAATATTTAAAAAAATAATAATAATAAAATAAAATAAAATAAAATAAAATCTACTGGGGATGCCTGGTTGGGCAGCTCAGTCAGTTGAGAGTCGGACTCTTGACTTTGGTTCAAGTCACAATTCCAAGGTTGTGGGATCGAGTCCCACATTGGGCTCCTCACTGAGTGTGGATCCTGCTTAGGATTCTCTCTCTCTCTCTCTCTCTCTCTCTCTCTCTCTCTCTCCTCTGCCCCCTCCTCTTCTCTAAAAATATTAACAAAAAATATTCCAGGACAGGGACACGTGGGTGGCTCAATCGGTTAAGTGTCCAACTTAGGTCATGATCTTGCCGTTCATGCATGCTGACAGCTCAGAGCCTGGAGCCTCCTTCAGATTCTGTCTGTCTGTCTGTCTCTCTCTCTCCCCCTCCCCCACTCACACTCTGTCTCTCTCTCTCTCTCTCAAAAATAAAGTCAACATTTAAAAAAAGTTTTTTAAATATTCCATGACAAAAATTAAAAAAGAGTAGACACAGCATGATTTCATTTATAGAAAGAACAAACACAGACAAACTAATCTACAGTGTTAGAAGCTGGAGTGATTGGGGTGGGAGCACGAGAGTGTTTCTGGGGTGCTGGTAACATTCTGTCTCTTGATCTGAGGACTGGTTACATGGCTTCGCTAAATCCGTAAAACTTCATCAAGCTGTACACAATATCTACACTTTCCAGTGTGGATCTTATAATTTAATTTAAAATGTTAGGATTGTGGGGCGCCTGGGTGGCTTAGTCGGTTAAGCGTCCAACTTTCGCTTAGGTCATGATCTCGCGGTTCGTGGGTTCGAGCCCCGCGTCGGGCTCTGTGCTGACTGCCAGATCAGAGCCTGGAGCCTGTTTCAGTCTGTGACTCCCTCTCTCTCTGACCCTCCCCTGCTCACGCTGTCTCTCTCTCTCTCTCCCCTAGAAATAAATAAAAATATTTAAAAAATAAAATAAAATAAAAAATAAAAAAATAAAATGTTAGGATTGTTATTAAAGATAAGATAGTCTGTCGCATATAAGTTCAAATATTTTATGTAGACACTCCATCCTCAAGGTTGTGGGGGAGCAGAACTCCCCACTCTGTAGGTGTGGGCCGCTCACAAGGACTTCCTCCAAAGAGCACAGTATAGAAAGGGGGGGAAGGAGTGACTCACTGTGGATAACCTTGACAAACACGACTTCAGCCAGCTGATCAAAGTCAACATCAACCATCCTGGTCAGGCTGACAGTATGCAGCTTTGACATGATGTGACCAAGATGGCACTTTTCTTCCATGGTCTTCTACTAATAACCCATAACACCCCATCAGACAAATTGCAATCCTGGGCTTCCTATGGAATAACAGACCCGTTCTCCTGAGAACTGTCAAAGTCATCAAAAACAAAGGTATTCTGAGAAATGTCACAGTCAAGGGGAGCTTAAAGATGACTCAGTGTAATGTGGTGTTTTCCTTGATGGGATCATGGAACAGAAGAGGACATCAAGCAAAAACTAAGGAGATCTGAATAAAGTATGACTTTAGTTAATTAAAGAATGAGAGCGAGAAGGAGAAATAAAAGTAGAGGGCAGTGAGGAAAGAAGGAAGGAAGAAAAGAAGGAAGGGCAGGAGGGAGGGAGGAAGGTGGGGGAAGAGAGACATAGACAGAGAGAAATATTTAATTTTCTGTAAAACTTAACCTAACCTCAAACCTTGATTATTTTTTAATGTTTATTTATTTTTGAGAGAGAGAAAGCATGGGGGAGGAGCAGATGGAGAGGGAGACAGAGGATCCACGAAGCGGGCTCTGCCCTGACAGCACTGAGCCCAATGTGGGTCTTGAACTCATGATCCATGAGATCATGACCTGAGCAAAAGTCTGACACTCAACCAACTGAGCTACCCAGGCACCCCAAACCTTGAGATACAGACAGAAAACAGCTTTCCTTTCTCTCAGCCATGGATCTTCAAAGTCACTCCACAGTTGTATCAGACTTCTTGACTTGCCCCTTGACCTTGGCCCACCTTGACCACACAGCTTTCCCCAATCCAATCTAAATCAAAATTTGTGTCTCACGTCCAATTTAGGGTGTGTTCCCAGCCTCGTGGGGGAACAGTTTTCTCTTTTTCATACTCCCTTCGCCTACCCTGCACTTTGCTGGCTTCTCCACCAGGGAGTGCCAAGAAGGAGGGTGCTGGAAGAGAAGCTAATCTCTTCTTATTTGCCTGGTGCTATTTATCTTCTCTCTTGGCTAAAGATGCCCTTATGTGTGCCAGATGCCTCACTGTCAGCTTTGCATAAAGTACCTTAGAGTCCCAACTGTCCTCCTCGTAGAGTCCCTAAGTATCTCATGGACTTTCTGGTTGACCTCTTGGCCACCCTCCAACTCGCTCCCACAGGGTACATTTGCAGCCCCTGTGCAGCGAGGTCCCATGACGAGCTTAAGTCTAATCCCTTGAGAATGTCTACCTGGCCTTCAGGAGACTCATATCCTGGTACTGCACCCCGCTATGGCCATGCAGACTGCCCTCTGCTGCCCCCACCATCACAGCTGCTCCTCCAAATCCAGGGACATGTTTCCAGCAGGTGTATAGCATGCTGGTCCAGAGGACAGTCTTCTGAAGGTTTAGGTCTCGGCTCTAATACACTGTTCTGGAACCTAGAGCAAATTGCACAACTTCTCTGTGCCTCTCTGCTGCAGTGTATTACAAAAATAGTATTAATTTTGATTCCAAAGGATGACCGAGAATGTTTTTCATTCATGTGTGAAAAGCTCTTAAAACAACTGGGTCCATAACTATCAAACTCTATAAAGCATTGATAAATATGCAAATGGACAGCCTCCTCACTACTGTCCAATCCACCTGGACTCACAGTCTGAGAGGGAGACCCCATTCTCCCCTCCTTGTAAGTATCCCACTTTTTTTTAAGTTTATTTATTTTGAGGTGGGGAGGAGCAGAGAGAGAATCCCAAGCAGGCTTTGAACCATCAGCACATAATCTGATGTGGGGGCTCAAACCCAGCTCACCACCTGAGCTGAAATCAAGAGTCAGACACTCAAGCCACTGAGCCACCAGAGTCCCAACACGTATCCTACTTTCAAACCTTGGGTCTGCCGGACTCTCCTCACTTGACACTCAGGTGGAGGCTTCCTCCTGCCTTCCCCAGGGAGGAGAGAGAATCACGATGGAAATCCTCACCAAGCAACAACCCTCTTGCTACCTTAAAGTGCCTTTACAGTCAATGAACACCCACATACTTTCCCCTAGGACCTTGGATAGCTGACATTTGCTGTATCTACTCTTTGTCTCCTCTCTCTATATGCATACACACAGAGATGTGCATTTTTTCCCATTTTCTTTTCAATTTTTATTTCTTTATTTTGAGAGAACGGGGAGGGGCAGAGAGACAATCCCAAGCAGAATCCTCAATGTGAGCACAGAGCCCAATGTGAGGTTCAGTTCCACACACTGTGAGATCATGACAAGAACTGCTGAGGGATCCTTGATCAAGGCCAATGGCTGACCCTTTCAACTTTATTTGATGATATTGATATCTGGTGATCAAGATGGCCAGGCCAACCTGGCAGAGAGTGGTGTTTATAAAAGGCCCTTCACCCAGAGTCAGAAGCTCTGTGCCAGACTTCACAACTCTGCTGATCTCAAGCACCTGCCTCTACAGGTACCTTTCTTTGGCTCATTTCCCAGTCCCTGGGACCCCTACCATATACCTTGGGAATGAGTGGAGATGAAGGGAGCCTGGGTTAGGTGTAGGAGGCCTGAGTTCTTGTCCACCCTGCCCAGCTCCAGACCTCAGGATAAATACTTATTTATTTATTTCTCTTTAGAAAGAGAGGGAGTGGGGGGAGAGGGACAGAGGGAGAGATACAGACAGACAGACAGAGACAGAGAGAGAATCCAAAGCAGACTCCATGCTCAGTGTGGAACCCAACATGGGGCTCAATCCCACGACCCTGCGATCATGACCTGAGATGAAATCAAGAATCAAAAGCTTAACAAACTGAGCCACCCAAGAGCCCCTCTCCATTTTTATTTTATTTTTTTTCACTCTCCATTTTAAATTAGCAACTTGGCCATCTCTGATTAGAATGGAGAGATGGGAGGGGATCCCCACCCGGCATGAGGGCAGCCTTGGCTCTGGCTTGGCTGCAGCCCAATCTCAGTCTCCAAGACTGTGGGAGGGTGGGGACTCACCCTCAGAGGAGGGGCTCCCCATGGTCTGGTAAAGAATGCCCTGGGGAGGAGGCATCACCAGCCATTTGCATGAGCCCTGGGACCTTGGCCCCCTCAAGTGTTTGTAGCTGAGTGGGAGCTGCTCACTGCTCCCTGGGTAGGAGCAGGTATTGGCAGGAAGCCAGCCTCAGCACGGTCTCTTTGGCATAATGTCCAGTATAACCTTGAACTGGAGGCTGGCAAGGGTTTTCCCCTGTTTTGAAGTCGTCAATTGCCTCCACTCCAGCCTCAGAATTGGAAACTGAGGTGATGGGCAGATGAGAGCATCAGAGCTAATTAGGTTGGGAATTTTGAGGCTCCTTTCCAGGCCTCAGATTCTGTGATGTTCTAAGAGTGAGCTCTTGGGACACAGGACCTATGGTGGATATACCTTAGTCTTTCTAGTGTCTAGCTAGGAGCCAAGCACCAAACATGGGGAATGTTTATTGACTGAGTGGATGAATGAGTGAAAGGCTCCATCTTGATGCTCAACCAGTCTCCTCCTTCCCCAGTAGTTGTTACAGATGGCATTATCCCCAACAGCCACAGAGCTTCTCCTGGCCTCCGTTGTCTTCTGTCTGGTGTTCTGGGTGGTCAGGGCTCGGCAGCCTCAGGTTCCCGAAGGCCTGAAGAGTCCACCGGGGCCCTGGGGCTGGCCTCTGCTCGGGCACATACTGACCTTGGGGAAGAGCCCCCATCTGGCGCTGGCAAGGCTGAGCCAGCATTATGGGGACGTGCTGCAAATCCGCATTGGCTCCACACCTGTGCTGGTGCTCAGCAGCCTGGACACCATCTGGCAGGCCCTGGTGCAGCAGGGCGATGACTTCAATGGCCGGCCTGATCTCTACAGCTTCACTGTAATCACTGATGGCCAAAGCTTGACCTTCAGCGCAGACTCTGGACCGGTGTGGGCTGCCCGCAGGCGCCTGGCCCAGAGCGTCCTCAACACCTTCTTGACTGCCTCAGACCCGGCTTCCTCGTCCTCCTGCTACCTGGAAGAGCATGTGAGCAAGGAGGCTGAGGTCCTCATCAACAGGTTTCAGAAGCAGATGGCAGAGGTTGGGAGCTTTGACCCCTATACCCAAGTAGTGCTGTCAGTGGTCAATGTCATTGGCACCATGTGCTTTGGGCAGCGCTTCCCTAAGGAGAGTGAGGAGATGTCCAGCATCCTGAGGAGCACCAATGAATTTGTGGAGAATGTGATCTCCGCCAACCCTGTGGACTTCTTCCCCATCCTTCGATACTTCCCCATCCCTGCCCTGCAGAAACCAAGGCCTTCAACCAGAAGCTGGTATGGTTCCTGCAGAACATTGTCCAGGAGCACTACCAGGACTTTGACAAGGTGAGCCCAGGGTGCTGGTGAGGCTGCAGGAGGCACCCTGCAGGGCCTGTGTGCGGTCCCTCTCACCCAGCTTCAAGGCACACACACAGCTGACATGCTGCTGTCAAGGCGTAGGAAAGCTCTGGAACACCCTGGACTGGCTGTGTGACCTGGCAACAATCCCTCTTCGTCTCTGGCCTCGGTTTCCTCATCCCTACAGCCTCCCTCTCAGGGTTGCTCAAAGCCCTAGAGATATTTGGCTGTGAAGGGGGCCCTGGCAGAGTCCTGCAATGTGGGGGGGCTGTTATCATAAGGCTTTTGTTCTGCGGGAACCTGAATGCTGACGGAGGCTAATCCCCAGCTCAGGTAGCACTTTGCTTCCTAGTCCTCACCCCAGTCTCCTCCTCTGAAACTGGACCCCTGGGGTTATTGGGAGGAAGGGTCCCCAGGGCTGCCACCAGCTCTTGCTATATAAGCCCAACTTACTGCCTACAGGCCAGGGGGAGGCACCCTGTGGCATGGGGTAAGGTCCAATGGTTGGCCCTGGAAGTACAGGCTTGTCCCTAAGATTTTGTCCTTACAGAATAACATCCAGGACATCATGGGCGCCCTGTTGAAGCACTGTAAAAAGGGCTCCAGAGCTAATGGTGGCCACATCACTTGTGAGAAGATTGTCAACCTTATCAGCGACATTTTTGGGCCTGGCAGGAATCAGACCTTTGCTCCTCCATCCATTAGTGCCTGCTGTTCACCCACAGACTTGCTCAGCCCCTGAGTACATCAGAAAATTTGCCAACCACATACCAGATGGTGCAGAACATACAGACACCTGGCCCATGTTCAGGGTCAGAGTCCAGGCCAGCCAACAATGCTCAGTGGAAATTCAATCAAGCCCCTCTCTGCCTCTGGGCCTCAATTTCCCCACATGAACAATTAAGGGTTCTCTAGCCTGTAAGTCTGAGTCCCTGTAATTCCAGAAACTAATGATAAATCCAGTGACCAAATATCCGTTGAGGAGATCTGGCTCTGCCCCCAGAAAACTCATGGGAGGGGCTGGAGCAGGCAGGGGGGAAGGAGGCAGAGAAAGCAATGCATGGTACATACATGCGGGGTGCTTAGGGACAGCTGGTTTCTTGTTCTTGTCCTCCTTCCTTCCTACCTTGCACCGTGCTGCCCAGGATTTGACACTGTCACAACAGCCATCTCCTGGAGCTTTGTGCACCTTGTGAAAAGTCCTGAGAAACAGAGAAAGATCCAGGAGGAGCTGGGTACGTAGCAGAGATGCATTGGCTGAGAGAAGCCTTGGGATCCTCAGGTCATTTGTTCAATCTACATATGGCTGTTATGTGCCTAATAGGGGACATAATGGGGGATGTAATAGGAGACGCAGATGCCCTGGAGCAGTCAGGGAAGCCCTAAGCCCTGTTTGGTCTTCTGTGTTCTACAGACACAGTGATTGGCAGGGCATGGCAGCCCCGGCTCTGACAGATTCCAGCTGCCCTACCTGGAGGCCTTAATCTTGGAGACCTTCCGACACTCCTCATTCATCCCCCTCACTCTCCCCTATAGGTAAGTTCTCCTTATGCTGCCCTGCCACCTTTGAAGTCCTCACCATGTCTCTTCTTCCCATCTTCTCAGCCCTGGCCTTGGCTCACATCTCAGCATCTCATTCTGGCCGGTCCCCAAGTTCCTCACAGACCCTCAGCCTCTAGTCTGTTCCCAACCAGTCCAAGCATGATCAAACTACCCCACTTTCAGGATAAAGTCACACTCCTGATCTCAGCTCTCCTTCACCTCTGCTCACATTCCCTCCCTGCAAGTACTCTCAGCCCAGCCAGGCCGGCCTCACTGCAGCTCACCAGCATGCTGCAGCCAACCTCCAATTCTGCTTCTGCTGGACCTTCTCCCTGGAATGCCATCTATCCTCTTCTCTGGCTACCAGAATCCTGTGCTTGCCCCAGGTCAATCCTGACACAAACTTCCCTTCACCTAGCAGGCTTTCCTGACTCAAATGGCTGGCACAGATTCATTCTCTGATATCTTGTAGAACTTTCAGCCATTTGTCTTTAATTACGTCCTAGGATTTTAACAATGTCAAAAGAGTTAGTGAACACTTACTTCCATCCATCTATTGGTCTAATCATTCCTGGAACAAGAGGTCTGACTCCTCAGCCAAGCTGGGAACTCCCCAGGGCTGGCCCAGACAGTCTTCTTCTTGGCGCCAGAGGATGGCCAAATGCACAGCCAGACACACAAAAAAGTTCAGTAAACACTTGCTTTGTTGAAGGTGAAAAACAGGAGCTGAGGAAGGGGAAGGATAATTTCGCCACTCTTTTTTTTTTTTTTTTTGAATAGTTTATTTACTTTTGAGACAGAAGGAGACAGCATGAGTGGGGGAAGGCAGAGAGAGGGAGACACAGACTCCAAAACAGGCTCCAGGCTCTGAGCTGCCAGCACAGAACCCGATGCGGGGCTCGAACCCACAAACCACGAGATCATGACCTGAGCCGAAGTTGAACACTTAACTGACTGAGCCACCCAGGCGCCCCTAATTTCACCACTCTTGACATTCCCTCCCAGTGTGGGGTATGGAGACTGTGGTGAGCAAGCTATTGGGCTGGAGTGGAAGTAGGAGAGAATACCTCCCAGAGACATGCCCCAGTTTTCCTTCCCTGAGCCTGACAGCCCCCTCTTCCTTCCTCAGCACAACGAGGGACACGACATTGAATGGCTTTTACATCCCCAAGAAACACTTGTCCTCATAAACCAGTGGAGGTCAATCATGACCAGTGAGTATACATCCTCCACTAAAAACTATGTGAGACTCAGCAGTCAGGAAGGCTGTCTGTCCCCCTGGGAACTGGGTATATGATAGAAGGATGGGGCCTCGATTGCTATATATAGTCTGTTCTAAGTAACAGACTTTGGGTCCATGTTTCTCAAACTGTAGTGCACATAGGAAAATGATCAGCAGGTTGGTTAGATTAGGGTGCCTCATCCCCCAAGATTCCACTTTGGTAGGTAAAATGGAGTACCTCAGGTGACTCTGATGGCAATGGCTTGGTGACCTCTCTTTAGAAAATCCCCCTCTAGCCTGTAGGTGGGGGGGGCATATAATTTACCACTTAAACTGGGGTGCTCCTAAGTGTGAAAAGGAATACTGCCAACCATTACTCCAAAACAATAATCATAAACCAGGATGTACTGTTGACTCCCCTGTATACTGAGTAGGATGGAGATAATGTTTTCCTCCTTTTAATTTCTTTTAGTTGAAGCATTATTTCTTTAAAATAACAAATTAATATTTAAAAGCCCCATTTGTAAGGTCGATCATCTTAGAGAGAGATTTGTAAAAGAAATAAGCAGCAAAGTACAGTTTGGCCGCTCTCTCAACTCTCTTTTCATCACTCTCCATCTATTCTAACACTTGTACCATCAACAGAAGTCTCCACCAGGTCTTTCCTCCCAGGGTCTCCCCCACCCAGAAATCCCATCTCCTCTGTTCCTCTTGCAGGAAGGTGTGGGGGGAATCCATCTGAGTTCCGGCCAGAGCGATTCCTCACTGCTGATGGTACTGCCATCAACAAGACTTTAAGTGAGAAGGTGATGGTCTTTGGCCTGGGCAAGCGCCGGTGTACAAGGGAGGTCCTGGCCAAGTGGGAGATTTTCCTCTTCCTAGCCATCTGCTGCAGCAGCTGGAGTTCAGCGTGCCAGCAGGTGTGAAAGTAGATCTAACTCTCATCTGTGGGCTGACCATGAAGCACCCCCACTGTGAGCATGTTCAGGCATGGCCACGCTTCTCCATGAAGTGAAGACACCAGCATGCCAAGGCAGAGGGAGGGGTGAGGATCGCCCATGAGTCCACAACCCTTGTTTGTTCCCCTCTTTCTTAAATGAAAGCTTTGTTGAGGTATAATATACATACCATACAATTCACTTTCTTAGACAATCCAATGGCTTTTAGCATATTCACAGATCTTGTGGGGTTCCTGGATCCAGTTTCAACATAGGGGGGTATCCCCACACACACAACACCAAGCAATTCTTGGACACCAAATGGATGTCCAAGAATTCAACTCAATTTTGACACTGTCTACCTACAGATAGCATTATACTTCACAGGTTAAGGGCTCAATCCTACAGGACTGCACCCCACCAACCTGACTTCAGTTGCTAGTCAGAAGCCCCAGGCTGCTACCTGTGCTTCTGACCAACCAGCTTCAGACTGGAAGTTCCAATGACCTCCTCCTCCTTAGGTTCTTTAACTTGCTGGAGTGACCCACAGAACTCAGGGAGACACTTACCTATGTTTATCAGTTTATTAAAAGATATGATGAAAGATAGGAATCAGCAGCCAGACAAAGAGATACACAGAGCGAAGTCTGGGGAAGGGGTATGGAACTTCCATGCCCTCTCCAAGCACACCATTCTCCCCAATCTCTGGGTGTTCACCAACCTGGAAGCTCTTGATCCCAGTTCTTTTGGGATTTTTATGGAGGTTTCATTGTATACTCAGGACTGACGAAGTCATTGACCACTGTCTAATTGAACCACCAGCCGCTTTCCCCTCCCCAGAGGTCAGGGAGTGAGACTGATCCAACACTCTAGTCATATGGTTGGACCTCCTGGCAACCAGCTCCAAAAGTTGCCTTCATTAATACAACAAAAGACAAGGCACCTGGGTAGCTCAGTCAGCTCAGCATCTGACTCTTGACTTCGACTAAGGTCATGATCCCAGGGTTAAGCCCACACTGAGCATGGAGCCTGCTTAAGGTTCTCTCTTTCTCTCATTCTGTCCCTCTCCCCCACTCACTCACTCTCTAAAATATGTATATATTTTATATAAATATTAAAACAAAAGACCTCTTTATCACTCTCAACACTTAGGAAATTCCAAGGGTTTAGGAAGCTGTGAGCGAGGATCTGTGGACAAAGACCAAATATATATGAGAAATAGATGTTTGGTCATTTAGATGACCATTTAGATGACCAAACATCTATTTCTCATAAATCACAAATTGCAACAGAGTTTTGCTAACACACCACAATCAATTTTAGAAACTTCTCATCTACTGGAAAAGAAAGCCCACACCCACTGGCAGTCACTCCCAGCCCTAAGCAACTACTAATCTACTTTCTGTCTCTATAGATTTGCCTACTTTGCACATTTCATATAAATGCAGTTATACAACAGGTGGTCTTTTGTGACTGGCTTCTTCACTTAGTGTATTGTTTTCAAGTTTCATCCATATTATAGCATGCATCAGTATCAGATTTCTTGAGTCCTAAGAGTAGGCCTAGGTTTGTTTCCTCCATCACTGAGGGCACATTGTTCATTGCTCTCTCTTCTCTCCTTTCCTGTTTGACCCAAGTCTTTTAACACTTGAAGGGAACATGAAGGAAGAGATCCAGCCTTGTGGACCAAACCCAGATGGCTGAATGGGGATACCTCATGCCCCAATCCTCAAAACACCTGACTTCTCACAAGACCTTCATTTGTTCATCCATAGCTAGGGGAGGATAAATTCCCCAGAAGGGCTTGGGTTATCTGCAAGAGGCCCAGGTCTTCTTTTGCAAAGGGAACGATCAAAAGAGTGAAAACAGAAGCCACAAAATGGGAGAAAAGAATTGCAAATCATATATCTGATAAGGGATTAACCTCCAGAATACATGCAAAGAAATCCGCAAAGAAATCCTACAAATTGACAGGAAAACAAACAACCCAACTTAAAAATGGGCAAAAGAGGGCCGCCTGGGTGGCTCAGTCGGTTAAGTGCCGACTTTGGCTCAGGTCATGATCTCACGGTTTGTGGGTTCCAGCCCTACATCGGGCTCTGTTGCTGACAGCTAGCTCAGAGCCTGGACCCTGCTTCAGATTCTGTGTCTCCCTCTCTCTCTGACCCTCCCCTGTTCACGCTGCCTCTCTCTCTCTCAGAAATAAATAAAACATTAAAAATTTTTTTTAAAAAATTGGCAAAAGACTTGAATAGAGTTCTCTAAAGCAAATATGCAAATGATAAGAAGCACATGAAAAGATGCTGAACATAATTATTATTAAGGAAATGCATATCAAAACCACAGCGAGATATCACTTCACACATATTAGAATGGCTATAATAATAATTTTTTAAAACCTAGATGGTTACAAAAATAATTTGTTATATAAATATAAGTGGTTACTTCATTGTAAACATAAAGCAAAAACCTGTGACAGATACACGAAAGAGAAAGAGAAAGGAATCTAAACATACCACTACACAGATGCACACACACAACATAGAAGTAAAAAAATAAAATGAGTAATTGTGGAAAGTACTACAGACAAGACTGTCTGCTCCATGTTAGCTGTGTCAATACCTACACATGGATGAATAAGTGAAATGAATTTCACATGGTAGTCATTTTTGTTGCCATTTTTCTAGTATCAGATGTAGTACTGATCTCACACTATTTAGTTTTGTTAACATATAAATTCTGCTCATAATAGATCTTGATCCAAATCTATAATGATATAGAGTTTGGAGAGTAGCAGACATTCACATGTTTGTCCACAAGTAAATTAGTAAGACCACACAATAGAAAGGCACAGTCCAATTTCTTTTCATACAATCTAGTTTAATGGGAGTATTGAGCCCTTAAAATGTGGCTGATCCAAATTCGCATGTGCTATTAGTATAAATTGCACTCTAGATTTTGAAGATGTACAAAGAATATAAAATATCTCAATTTTGTATATTGGTGAAATTATATTTTTGGTACAGTGTGTTAAGTAAAATGTTATATTCAAAATTTAAAAAAAAACAAAAACAAAAGGAGCACTTGGGTGGCTCAATCAGTAGAACATCCAACTCTTGATCTCAGGTCTTGATCTCACTCAGGGTTGTGAGTTCAAGCCCAGTGTTAGGTGTGAAACCTATTTAAAAACAAAAACAAAAAACAAAATAAAAACAAAAACACACCACTATAAAAAATAATCAAATCACAAAGGAAGAGAGCAAGAGAAGTAGAGGAGCAGAAGAAATACAAAAGAGCCACAAAACAATTAACAAAATGGCAATCACTACATATCAATAATTATTTTAAATGGAAATGGACTAAATGCTCCTATCAAAAGACAGAATGGATGAACAGATTAAAACAAAACAAAACAAAACAAAAACAATACCTATCTATATGCTGCCTCCAAGAAACCCATTTCAGATGTAAGGACACACACACAGACTAAAAGTGAAGGTGTGGTAGGGTCCCCTCCCTAAGGAGAGAGAAAAAAAGGGAGAGAAAACCTCAAGGTAACTTGGCTGTGCGCCTACATGAGAACATCCCTCATGACCTTGTAAACCGAGACTACCTAATCAGACTGCATGTTTATGTGTGTTACCATATAACAAAGAAATAGACAAAGAAATAGAAAATGTATTTTTAAAAAAACTATGCCACGTGATGTTCGGCGCTCAGTTCTTTGGGTATGAGACCCAACTGAGCAGTGCCGGCATGAATAAAAGTTGCTTCCTGGATAAAAAAAGCCTCAGTGTCACGACTCTCTGTGAGAGAATCCTGTTACAAAGGGATGGGAGAAAAACAAAGAAACCAAAAGAAAGTTGGTGTGGCTATACTCGCATCAGACAATAAAGAGCTTAAAAAAGACCATGGGGCACCTGGGTGGCTCAGTCGGTTAAGCGTCCAACTTCGGCTCAGGTCATGATCTCCCGGTTCGTGGGTTTGAGCCCCGCGTCGGGCTCTGTGCTGACTGTCAGCTCGGAGCCTGGAGGCTGCTTCGGATTCTGTGTCTCCCTCTCTCTGACCCTCCCCTGTTCATGCTCTCTCTTAGAAATAAATAAAAACATTTAAAAAAATTAAAAACAAAGACTGTAATAAGAGACAAAGAAGGTCATTACATAATGATAAAGGAATCAATCCAGTAGAAGGATATGACACTTGTAAATACTTATGCACCCAACACAGCAATACCTAAATATATAGAGTAAATACTAACATACCTAAAAAGAAAAATAGACAGTAATACAATAATAGTAGGACACTTTAAATTTTTAATGTTTTATATATTTTTGGGAAAGAGGGAGAGAGAGCACAAGCAGGGGAGGAGCAGAGAAAGAGAGAGACGCAGAACTTGAAGCAGGCTCCAGGCTCTGCACTGTCAGCTGAGAGCCCAACATGGGGCTCAGACTCAGGAACCATGAGACCATGACCTGAGCCGAAGTCAGACGCTTAAACAACTGAACCACCCAGGCACCCTTACCACAATTTTTCTGAAAAGCAAATAACATAATGAAATATCGTGTGCAGTAAAAAGAAATAAGCTACCAAAGTGATAAAAAGACAGGGAGGAACCTTAAATGCCTGTCACTAAGAGAAAGAAGCAAATCTGAAAAGGTTACCTATTTTATGATTCCAACTATATGATATGCTGGAAGAGGAAAAATGATGGAGACAGAGAAAAGATCGGTGGTTTCCAGGAGTTTAGGGTTGAGGTGTTGGGGAGGGGAGGGGGGGGGAGATGAACAGGTAGAACACAGCACTTTTTGGGCAGTGAAGTTATTCCGTGTGATCCTATCATGGTGGATACATGGCATCATACATTCGTCAAAACCCACAGAATCCACAACAAAGTGAATCCTAATGTAAACTATGGACTTTAGTTAATAATAATGTATCCATAGTGGTTCATTAATTGTAAAATATGTGCCTACTCACGCAAGATGTGAATAATAGGGAACCTGGAAGCAGGGTGAGCAGGTATATGGGAACTCTCCGTGTTTTCTGATCATTTTCTATAACCTAAAACTGCTTTAAAAAAAATAAAGCTGACCTGGGGCCCAATTGATTGGGCCTCCAGCTCTTGATTTCAGCTAAGATCATGATCCCAGGGTCATCAGATTGAGCCCTGTGTTGGGCTCAGC